CGAGCATTCTAGCTGGAACTGGAGCATGCAATTACATGTATGCTAAGAAGCAGTGATGGAATTTGACACATCACCTCCAGTGTGACAATCCGTGGGCTCAGCTTGAGCTGCATTGTCCTGGCAGGTGGTTCCTGTGGTACGGGCGATGACCGATGCCATGGCGCCTGCAAGTGGATACGGAATCCTGGAGGCAGGATCCTCTCTAAACTTAACCAACCTGTTGTGACTCCAGACTTGTTTGTAAATGACGTTTGCAAAGCCGGAAGGGAACCAAGGCTCAAAACTGAAGTCTCTTGGATGCTGGGAGACGCGAGTCTGAATGTGTTGAAATTTAGCACTCAGAAACCATGGAAAGTCCATGGCCAGGCGATTTGCCAAAATGCTTGCCTGTAGACAACACTTCCGTCGCAGCCTCAGATGCCTCACAGCGAAAGAGGGAAGGTGATCAGAATCTGAGCCTTCGCAAGTTATCCTTGTCCTTGACCAAGGCAAAGACCAATGTCAGCTGCGGGGGCCATCACGTTTCTTGCCTTATTGGACTGGTCCCATAGCAGATAGCAGAGTTGAAGGTCTAGAATCTGAGATGCTTTGCGAGCCTTGCAACGCTGCAAGCTGGCCCAGGCGAAGAGCTGTGAAGAGTGTCCACGAGGAAACGGCAGGCTGTCCGCACGCGCTGCGCCGCTGTGCGGTGTCCAGAAGTGGACATATTCCTAGGGGCCGAAAAATACACAGTCCAACAATCATGGCCTTCAGGACTTGGTGCAACAAGGACTGCAAGTGGTTGGATGAGGGAGAATGTGTGCCCAGTGACAAGCCAACGAGCTATGAAGATCGTCTCTTGGCACCGAACGGTGCCGCACCAGAAGCGCCCAACAAGCGGAGATGTGTTTTTTCAGATGTTTGCGAAGGGATGAGTGCAGATGTATATGGTATACAGTATGCAGTTTATACGCATGTGCATACAGTAATTGTCGGCACGTATCACGATTTGATGCTTTCCACGATGCTTCAACAGCCCTGAATTCGAAGCTGCTGACTGCGAGTGGGATGAGGGAGAGAGAGAGAGAGAGATAGAGGGGGGTGAGTGAGTGAGTGAGAGAGAGAGAGAGAGCGGGGGGGTGAGTGAGTGAGTGAGTGAGTGAGTGAGAAACAGTTTTATGACAAACAAGTGGGTTGCAGAGCTCAGCGGAAGCACGAAGGCCACAATCACCAACGAAGAAATTGAGAGATTTGCTCTTAGGTTGGAATCCTTGGACCCTTGAAATGATAAACGATCAGGCAGGTCTGGTCTGATGGAGTGACGGACTCATAAGATTGATTGCTTTGGCAAGGCCCATCTGTTCATGACACTGCCGGAACCCTGCTGCGGAGACCTGCTAGGCCGAGCGAGAGTGCCAGATCGTTTGGGCGAAGACATTGAGCCTCGTGGCGCAATGGAATCGGAAGGCGGATTTGGGGAAATCATTTGTTTTACACTACTACTTGACTAGCGATTTAGGAGGCATTTGCCATATTGGTGGTTCCATCTTGAAAGCCTGGATCTGCTCAAACATCATAGCGATGTTGCATTATGCAGCGTCTCCGGTTACAAGCCCTGTAGGGACCTGGGATGACCTGGAATGACCATGAGACCCGACGCAGTGGCCGCAACTTGAGGTACGGGTGAAGTGGCTGTGGCCGGCGTGAACTTTGCAGCTCGTAAAGCGGTTGTCTCACTGCAGTTGTCGAAGCTTCTGCAGGATCCAACTGGCTGTCCTTGGACACGTTTTGAGCATTTTAGTACGATGCCGATACGGACGGACTCATTTTTGCTTTTCCCTCTGGAGGGCTTTGCTATGCCATGCAGTTTTCATCAGTTTTCCCTGTATATATATAGTCCAATTCGGAGGCATTTGGCCATGAATGCAATTGACTTGAGGTGACACTCCCACTTTGTAACTGCAACGTGCAATTGCTCATTTGCTTCTTTGGTCTGTGGCTTGCAGGAGAAGACAGAGAATGTTCGACTGGCCGTCAAGAATGTTTGGCATCTCGGAAGCATGTGTGTGTGTGTGTGCGTGTGCAGGTGAGAATCATATAGAGCAGTTCGGAATGTATCCAAGAGGATCCAAGTGATTACGGCGTTTACGGGAAGTCCCGGTGGACATGGTTACGGTTAGACCTTGGGGTTATGTCCACCTGACCTGGTCTAATCCTGGTCTGCCTTTGGCGGCTAGAGTCGTAACAACCATAATTGTCAAGACCGTCTTTTCTGTTTGTCGGAGGTTTGATGGAGGTGTGATGTTCCAAAGCCACCTGAGATTGTCCTCAGCACTGGGCGTCGCTGGACCCGCGTCGTGGACATGAGGAGTGGGCAGTCACGCATGCAGTCTGGCGATCTCCACCTCAGCTTGGAGGCCCCAACCCAAGGTGTCACGATGCCTTTAACCTAAGAGCAATGCCCCCAACCTACTAGCAAAAGGAACCTATTATGGAGATGGCCTCCAACCGAATAGCAATGGCCTCCAATCTAAGAGCAATTGTGACAATTTCACCTACAATTCTGGGAACTCACGTGCCGCTTTGCCTTTGGGTCAGGCCAAGGGTGGCCACCAGCTGTTGCTCCTGATGGATGCAAAAGTGGCACGAGATCTGACGGAGCAAACAGTGCTTCGACCGCAACTGTTGAAGTAAATCTGCAACTCCGCAACCTAACTATTTCAAGAGCATCAGCTATCGGCCAGGGTATTCCCAATGTGTTGCCTATTTAAATATATCTATCTAGCTATCCATCTATCTATCTTTCATTTCATTTCATTTCATGTCATGTCATGTCATTTCATTCCATTCCATTCCATTCCATTCGATTCTATTCTATTCTATTCTAGTCTGTCTGTCTGTCTGTCTGTCTGTCTCTCTACCTACCTAGCTATCTATCTATCTATCTATCTACCTACCTAGCTATCTATCTCTATCTCTATCTATATCTCTATCTCTATCTCTATCTCTATCTATTCTATTGTATTTAGTATTGTTGTTAAACATCTATCTAATCATCATCTAATCTATCTATCTTATCTATCTATCTAATCTATCTAATTGTATCTATCTAATCTATCTAATCTTATCTATCTATATACTCTTATCTAATCAATCCATCCCTCCCTCCCTTCCTCCCTCCATCCATCCATCCATCCATACATCTATCTATCTATACTCTTGCACGCCTTGGGGGGCACTTTTGGGGTATTTTCTGCTGCAGATTCACGGAGGATCTCAGTGGCGCGGTTTGATGCTGAGGCGAAACATCGTCCTTGCATCGGAGCCTCGCTCCTTGAATGCAGGGGGGTGGTGACAGCAGATGACAGCAGTGTCGTTCAGACTTGGAGGATTTGTGAGCCCTGTGTCTGAGGTGCTCGAACAACCGAAAGGCACCAAGTTGAATGTGCTGATTTTCCTTCTCTTAGCAAGAAGGCCCAATCACTGAACCTTCAATGATGATAGGAAGGCGCATTCTTCAGCCCTTTGCATGGCGATGTGGTCAAGGCTGGGCGTTCCGTCATTTTGGCTGTTTTGTTGAATCTCCTGCATCACTTGATACTGTGCACCCTTGCACAATCTTTTCAAGAGGGGAGCTTCAGAATCAACATTTGCAAGGGTCGCATTAACTCAGATCCCCGGTTGTATGCATGCCACACCAACAAATCAAGATTTGGCTTGTCATATTGAGTATGGATGCATGATGCATGATGCATGTCAATGTGAATGTTTCCAAGCAGTGTAGGAACATTCCATGTATTGTCGTGCCTTTTTGGTGCTTTGATTTCACCTGCAGACAAGAGGTCCCACACGCACTGCTGCTACTTGTATATGCGTCGCAGTGATGCCATTACTCGAGGAGCTTTTGTCCAAAAGCCCGCGGTCTGTGCTTGAGAAGCTGTTGGAGAGGTCGCTCCTTGATGGCATTGGAAGAAGGAAAGCAAAGAAGAGGATCCAAGAATACATCCCCATAAAGGTGCTGTTCCGCTGTGGTATTGGAAGCAGCTTGCAATCGGCCAGACGCACCCCAGGATCACCGAGCAAAAAGCCTTGCAGCAGCTGGGATGATTCTGAAGAATTGTTGATTCGTTTTCTTGCTCCACGACTTCGAAACACCTTGTCACTGAAGTCACAGCTGTCAAATTACACTATGAATGAATTGCATTGCAAGTTGCATTATCACCCTGCCTCTGAGTTTCCTTGCACAAGCCCCTGTGCAACACCAATCCCGCTAGGCCCCAGTACTTTATAAAATGAACTTTACCTTTGAGTGCCCTGGCTTCTTCAGGATGGAGGACCTTTTCCAAGAGTTGCCTGCAGAGCTGGACGAAGGTGCCTTGGCAATTGCAATGGGAGGCTTCGAACATCAGCAAACGATCCTGAATCCTTGCAATCTCCGGTTATATATATAATATATAATATATACTTGGCGTGCTCAACCAGACTTTGGGATTGCAAGAGGCTGCAATGTAGGGGCTTGCGGAGTTTGGTATATATATTGAGGCAGCAATCCTGGCTATGAGATTCCGACGGTGCTAGCACCCTGGCCGGAAACAAGCACAAGTCACAGTTCATCGCATGTTTGATGACATTGTGAAGGGAAAGGACAGATTTTTAAGATTGGACTCAATTGCCCGATGCTACTAAGCGGCTACTTGTCCTTCTACGGCTTTTCCTCGTCCTTGTCCTTGGTCTTAGACCTGCCCTAACTACCAACCGACGCAAGATGCTCCCAGAGTCTTTAGGAGCTCAAACTTGTGAGGCCTTGGTCTCACTGGCCTTTCTGGTCATCATTTTATGCACTCGCCGTGCCCACAAGTACACTCAGAAGTGACGCGAAAATGGTGCGGCCGAAAGTTGCTTCCAGTAGAGCTGTGTGAGAGTGGACTGCTGGATTCGCATGATTCCCCATAAACAAGTCGGCAATGTCAAAGTTTCCGTGCTGTTTTTTTTTGCGTTTGGATACGTTCGGATACTTGCAGGTGGATGGAAACGAGTGGTCTTATGGTTGCACAGATTCCTGGGACCGGCACTTATCAGATTGGTGTGCTATTGTGTTGCACTGGTCTTGAAACAAGCTGTTGCAATCAGCCTTGAGTTGCACTCCCTAGCTTGCAGGAAGATCCCGGCGTCACCCCCAACATTCCAAAGATGCACCCAGATCATCATTATAGGCGGGTCTGTTGTGTTGCAAACTCTGAGATTTTGTGTTGCCCACTCTGGGGTCTATGGAGGGGGAGATGTGTGTGTATATGTGTGCGAGAGCTCAGGCAGACTGTGAAAATGCGAACGACGGATTTGTCTGCGACGCCCTTGGTGCCAATGCAATTGAGACCACTGGAGGTAGTTTGGATAAGGCCGCATCACGGCAAGTACCTGTGAGTTGCATACCATGCTAAAACTTGTGGACATTGAAGATGGCTTCTCCAAGAGAAGGCCTTGCCAAGACAGAACCACAATCTACTGCTGATGGTCAACGGATGAGCACACAAGACGAGACCCCGCTGGTGCGCCGAGGCCCTGCAGGTGCAAGGCATTCTCGAGGAACTCATGCTCCAGTGCCAATCCGCAAAATTTGAAGCCTCTAATTCCGGACAAATATAGACAAATAAATATATAGAGCTAGCAGGAATCGTCATGAACTAGCTTTCGGCGAACAACTATTTTTGCGATTGTTGGTGGATCAGCGGCGCGGCTCCCTGAACGACACTGGGCACAGGGCACTGGTCAATGAACCTAGAGACCTCATTCTCATCCTCTTGTTTTGATTTCAGCAACCGGTCCCGGTCCCACATGGAACACGATGGGCGTTTGTTTTGAGCGTTTCCCGCTCAAGAGGGAGTGTCAACTTGTTGCGCTGAGAGCGAGGTACACAGGGCCCACCTATGACCTTTTCCGAAAGCGCTCTGGCGTGAGATGAGATGTTCGACTCACCAGGGCGAAACATATTGGGGGAGGAGCCCCTAGTAGCGTCCTTGCTCCTAGTAGCGAGGTCAGGAGCCCCTAGTAGCGAAAATTGTTTCTAATAGTATCTAATAGTAAGGCCAGGAGCCCCTAGTAGCGTCCTTTGTTCCTTTTGCAGCGGTTTGGCACTTCAAAAACTTTACTGCAGAAGCTTCTAGTATCGCTTCACGTGGAGCTTGGAGTGAAAAGACATTTGGTGAAGAGAAGTGAAGGATCAGCACAGTGTGGTTCGCGTAGACGGCAACTTGTAGGAGATGAGAAACATTGTAACATGCAGCCAAGAGGCACGCGACATATTGGCGCATAGCCATAGGCCTATATTGGGGATCATTGCCACTTAGCTTGGCTGTTTGAGCATGTTCCCGACTGGCCCAAGACAATGCAGATAGCTTGTTTGGTGGTTTAGTGAACACATGCTCTCGGGCAATTGTTGTGAGTGCATCACAGGAACTGCTGCCACTTTGCGGAGGACTTTTGCCAGCGGCTGGGTCCGCTGCTACGTCAATTGACCACCCTAGAAACAAACAAGTGGCTGTTCTTGCCCTTTGCTCTCCTAGCTTGAAGCCAGTTGGTTCTCATCAATTTGCCACACGTATGACTTTGCAAACGTTGTTTTGCTTGGACACTCAGTTTTACTCTGGATCCCAGATGCTTGGCTGGTTTTTTCAACAACTTTTTACAGCATGTCCCTCATCATCGAAACTTGAAACCACCACTCTTACTACCACTCTTCATCCCTCTTGAGTCGGAGCAGCTTGGGCCCAGACAGCATTTTGAAATTTGGGACTTTGTTGCATTTCATTTGCAATGGCTATATCATGTGTTCGCCAGGTGTTGGCTGCATCCCCGCTTGGGTCAGAGACCCCAGTGGTGTTGTAGCCTGCCAATGGCTGGCCAGTAAGGCTAGTGTAACGGGGACCTTTTATTGATTTAGTTGAGTACTAAGAACGGGAAGCAGGAGCAGCTTACAACTTGACAGACAGACTGACAGCGGATCTTATGGAGTACAGAATGCTGAGTCAAGCCATTTGGTGGGACAAACCACCAGCAACACAGGCTCATGAACTACCAGAGCCCAGAGCGACAACTCTTATCATTTACCGTCCTATACCAACCACGTACCTGCTAACATGCACATGCTGCACAAGCATTGTATAATACATCCACACAGGAAAGAGGAAATAGCAGAACTTTGAGGTGCACAGGCTCGCTCGCCTTGCCGCCAGAATCGAAAGCATCCTTGAGGCCAGCTTATATTGCAGGGATCGTCGCCATTTTGGGCAGAGACAATGCCAACGCACACTTGTTTGCGTGCTGTCCTATAGCCCTATCGGTCCTATGCTATGTTGATGTTTAACTTTAGATGTTGCTGGGTCCCATGGTCGTAGGATGACAATCAACATGCCTGCCACCATGCTCCGGAGGCAGCACAAAGAATTCGATCTCCCGGCTAACAGCTGCTAAAATTTAGCATTGCTGGCACCTCAGCCTTGTTCTTGTATAACTTCGACTGAGACTATAGTTCCCTCCTGTCAGACAGTCAAATGGACAACATAGCTTGACACACGCTGTGAACATAGGCTGGCCACGGCTGGCCAAAGCAGAAAACTGCTTGCCAAGCACACTGCAGGAAGGGAAAACACCCAAACGGGAACAGACAACACCCGCAAAAACCGAGACAGGAAGAGAAAGCACTCCAGGCCTGATCTACACGGCGGGGCATGATGAGACTGGCAACCGAAATGCCAAACAACAAGCGCCCGCGCGGAGACCGAAAACACCAAGGACATGTGAAAACATGTTGGAAGGCAACGGGCATTCGACGCCTTGAGCTATGCAAGCAGGAAGGGAAAACACAAAACCAGGAACAAAAACCCGGAGTCCAGTCCGAACGGTAAGGCTCCCAAGATGGGAGAGAGAGAGAGAGGGAGAGTTGTTGCTATATATATATATATTTGCCGTAGTATATAATATTGTAACATAAAATAGTGTAATATAGTATATATATACTTATATATATATAGATACAAACTAGTTGACTAGCTGTGACCGCTGCAGAAGCCTGGTGGACCATGCTTGGGCCGTACCTGGCATCGCTTTGTGCCCAAGGCAGGAGCATGCCCACCAGCTGCAAAGCAGCAGATCTGGGCCGCAGCACCTGCCCCGAGAAAAACCTGTTCTGGTTTACCAATCTGTGGAGTATGTTGAGAAGATACACCCCAGCCTCAAGGGCCTGCAGCGAATTCATAATGCAAGAAGATGGTGGTTTGCTTCCAAATTGCCAATGAAAGGAGTTGAGGTCCACACTGCATCACGAGGACAACAAGAAACCAAATTATATTCTTGCTTGCCAGTTTCAGGGAGGATTCTAGTAGAATAAACCCATGAGCCGTGAGGACAAAGACGCCATCACATTGAATCACTTGATGTACTTATTGAGCTCATGGTTGTGTGGATGATTTGACCTTTTGGCAACCGTAAGCATGGCTTAAACTGATTAGGAGTGGACATGATCACAGAATCATTAGCTTCCGCTAGATGCATCCACAGCATAGGTTCCACCAAGCTCTTCTGGAAGACTCTTCCGGCTTTTGTTTGCAATGGGCCTTAAAAATGAGATAGGCACTGCCACATCCTTTGGCTGACACATCTCTGACCAAGAACCTGTGACTTGATGCTTTATGATTCTTTCATCCTTTCTTTTTTTAGTTTATCCCTAAACGGAAAAAGGATGTGGCTCCTAGTTGTTCCTAGTAGTAAGGCCAGGAGCCCCTAGTAGCATCCGTGTTCCTAGTAGCGATGCCAGGAGCCCCTAGTGAGCGCGCACCCTTTAACTCTCAACATCTCTGATCATGTACGCCATGGGCCTCGATGCCACAGCCTACCCGCATGGACCGCATGGAGGCAGGTTTCAATGTGTCAACTATCAGTCTAACGTCCACTATGCCGTTTGCCGGCTTTGTAAGCATGCATTAATTGACAACGGGCCAGGCCTTCCTTCACATGTTCAAGTATGTTTAAGCACCTTGAAGTACTTTGGAGCAACTTCAACAACCTCTATGGTGAAAAGTGTGCAAACTGTAAACTCACTGATTTCGCGAGAGGCAAAATGCAGGTCGTGCAAGGTTTGCGAAAGCCCCTGCGAAAGCAAACCTGGAGTATACAAAAATGATCAAACATGTATAGGTGGTTTTTGAAGCCGATCATTGGTCCTTGGAGCAAGCTGATGAACTTCAGTAATGCCTGACAACATGCTCAGTAATCAGGCGGAATCAGGCGGAGAGTCATTGCATCATCGGAAGAAGTTGCCTATCATTTTGGCAAACTCTGGTAATTAGCAACTGATCATCCCGGAATCATTCCACCGTCGCTGCGCGGCAGGTCTGAGCTGGCCTTCTGCCATGCGATCCGCCAGGGCAGCCTAATGACTCAAGTCATCGAAGCATGTCAGAATACAATGGGTGGGTCAAGTACTTCTAGATTCTAGATTTTCAACCGTAATCTTCCAACAATTCCTCCTGCATGTGGAGTTAGTGAATCGAGTGAGTTCCGCCGCTGCGCTGAGACCTTCACAGCTGCAGATGACCTCCTGAGAGGCTCTGAAGGCACTGCCCTTGCTACAAGGTATCTTTGTCCTTGCAGTTTGGCCAAGGGGCCACACGCGGCACTGAACCCTTCAAACCGCAGTGTCATTCCCAGCCATGCAGGGAGAGCACCTCCTCTTCCGCACCAGTATGCGTCTTGAACTCAGCTTTGTACTTTTTTGCGGGTGCATCGCCTTGACCTTTCACGCTTTGTTTATGCTTGCACGATCTCATGCACGTTTAATAATATCAAGCAGCCGCATTTAGGCCACCTGGCAAGTTCATCTTCCGGCCTCGCACCAGCCGCCACTTGGTACATCTCAAGAGTGCATGACGAGAACAGGATTTGAACACGGATCTGATATGATATTATGATGATAGATATGCACTTATGATATACAGAAATATCATCTGGCCAGCATCTACTGCATTATCTTGCGCAGTTGTTCATTTTCCTGACAGCCTTACAGATGATGTGCCTGGCCTAAGGAGTCAACTGGCGCTTGCTTCACTCCTTAGACCTGGACAGAGTTATCCGGGAAGGGGACGTCGACATGATACAGGCATCTTCAATCAAGTTGAGTGCAAAGTGCAACAAGGTACATGACATGGCCGCAATTACCGAGGTGGTCCAAGGAAATGGCATTTGATCAGGACATGTGAAAGCACAAATCATGTCTTGACTGTATATGTCTTCTTTCCGTGTGAGAGACACGGGGAGAGGTGGATTGAGGCTTCAAGGGCTTGCAGGGGTGCATAATGGGATCAAGCAGCTTAGTGAAGAAAATTCCCGAGCGAGAGCAAACCTTTTCTGCGGCACCTACGAGGCCCATATGGAGAACATCACTTTCGCTCGCTTCAGCCGCGAAGACTTGGAAGTGACCAGTGATGAGTGTATTATAAAGGCCGGGGGAAGGGACGCGACGAACCATCATTGATCCCCATGGGAGCGGATGATGTACACTCAAAACATCATCAAATACATTTGATGTACAGATCAAAGCTGTGAGTGTTGGGCATTCATGTTGAAACTTGACTAGGTCAACGTTGCGCAAGAATCCAGCTCCATGAGCCAGGAAAGACACATATAATTAGTACTTCTCCATTCAATGGTATGGTTTTGCTTTTGCCCAGGTGGTGCAACTCTCACAGCTTTGTATGGAGTTTCTGATGGCCACGTGCCTTGGACCCAAACCCAGGTGTCCGAGCTTTGTGGCTGGTGATTCTCAGAATATCTCGGAATCCTTGGCCTGTTGTGATCGTTCTTGAGTTCCAATAGCAAGTGAGCCTTTTGTCATCATCATTTCATGAGGTGCTCAGCCTCGCAGCACCTTATTCAGGCCTCCGGTCGCTCCTGCAGAAGCAAGCAACTCACGGCCACACGCGTCGGAAGAAGCCAATGTGACTCAATGTGACTCAGTATTTATATACACATTTTCGTGGAGTTTTGGAAGCTGTCAGATCTGTCAGTCAGCACAGCGCAACCCAACCCCAAGAGAACCGAGAAAAGACACTTTGTTAGCCTCATTGCTTGTTATATTTTGACTTTAGATTGGGCGGGGTGTTTTTACATTGTTACGCTCTGCCGGCGAGAGCGTACATGTACTTGCGTACACAGACTAGATCATACTGTGTGTGCATACGTGAATGCTGCTGCACTACCTGTCCGCAACAAAAGGGCTCTCCAACAAGCTGAAACACACTTGCCAGGGGCTTACCGAGCGTGTGCGGGTCCAGGCATGGCTTCCGTGGAAGATGAGAATCTATATACTGGTACTTGTAATGGTAGGGATGGGGGCAGGACACACACCCATTTCTCGTAGCAATGTGACATGAGCAAGTGGAACAGGGCTGCAACAGAGTTCTAGCATCCTAAGAGCGAGGTCCACCGCACACATTTGCAAATGCAAAACCTCGCACTTGGTTTGAGCTACTTTGCCACTTGGTATAAAGGGCTAGATTGGCTAAATGCAACGCAATGAATGCGGTGAGTGATGGGGTCCCCGCTATTCCTCATTTGGATCCTTGAGCGAATAGTCCAAACATGCGATGAGTTCAGCCCAGGCTGCCCAGCTCAAAGTGGCAGATACCCGCCGGCGTAGCGAAAGGCCAAGAGCTGTCGGCCAAGCATCCTCCAGTAACTCTTCCCACCAATTCAGGTCGCTTTTGTGCGCACCTGTGCACAGGCCCTCTCGACGGCCACCCCCAGAGCGAGCACCCATGCCACAGGCACCGATAGAAACATATCGGCATTTCGTGACGTTTTCTCAGCTGTCTTTGTTCTCAATTGGTTTTCCAACATCCAGAATGGTTTGTAAGTGGGAGGCAGTGTACGGATAGAAAACTTTTGCAAGGTTAGGAACCGTCTAGAGCCAAGAGTTCAGACATGTTCAGACCATCAATAAGAACTTCTAAACAGTGATCCCGTCCTCCCTTCCTGAGGCAGAGTATGACAAGTAGAATGTGATTCACTGTATTTAGCTATGCATTGCACTGCAGAAGACCTTAGCAGCTTTCTTGAGAAAAGACACACACACACACACATATATATATATACACACACATATATATATATACACATCATATTGTACATTGGCATGTGGCGACGTCCGTTTGTAGCTTGTTGGGGAGGCAGCTCAGGATATTATTGTTTCAGAACCAAACCACATGACTTTGGTAAGTCATCATCAATCTCTCCCTGAGTTCTTCTCTCTTTGCTTCAAGCAGGTGTTTGTCCGCAAGTGTCCGCATTGTCCAAAACGATTCCAGAAACTTGGCAGCTCATATGGTCGCGGCAGAACTTTCATGAACATCTATTCATGGTTCGGTAAGAACTGTGCGGTGCACCAATCCAAGAAACATTTCACCCAGGGCTGAACCGTTCCGTTGCAAGCTAGCCAGTGGTAGGTATCAAAAGCAGAAACCGTGATTGCTCAGGACCGAGCAATATCTCTACGAGCATATGTCTCGGCGCCATATCGCTGATGTCTTCGAGCCTCCTCCGCTCTCAAACACGCGACTGCAGGCAACTCTCATGGCCATTGTATCATTGCGGTATCATGTCATTCTTTGAGGGCGAGCCATGAGGAATCGCAGAGGGATCGGCCCTGGAAGGAAAAGCCGCCAGAGCCGGAGCCTGTCCTAAGTCCCGGTCGAGCAGGACTGACCTTGCAGATGCCCTTGTGGACATAGACGCAACATCAAGCTCGCGAAAGCAGGTTAAACCGTGCGAGGGCCTGGAGAGGGCAAACATTGTGGTAGAGAAGCTGAGTCTTGTAAGTCAATACAGGAAGGTATATAGAAGTATTGGGGCTCACGATTGGCCTCCAGGCTGGGGGCAAGTTAGGCGTTTCGTGGCGTTTCCAAACTACCATTTTTTGCGCCAACCAGCAGCTGACCATGTTGCTGCTGCACATTGTTTTTTCTTCCCGGCCGCCTGACGTACACAGAGACAGTGGCCACAGGACTTGATAGCTCTGAGATCTCAGAGGCCTTGTCAAACCTTCCGTTGCTGGATGCGTTGAGTTGTGATATCGCCAGCCGCCAGCCACACGACCCGCTTTAAGATCTGTTTGCTGCCAGGGAAGATTGGGTGAACATTGTTTTCAATGTGATGCTTTTTGAGCTGTGTAACCTAACGCGACCGCAGCAGCCGTCCTGCCGCCCGTCCCGCGCAGACAAAGTAGGCATTTGCCGGCACTTGGTGCAGTTCCTCACTGATGCAGTCTCTAAGTTCAAGGCTCACTCCGCCACCATGGCGTGCAGCCGTCCTGCGCCCGCATGGGGACTGAAGGGCGGACGCTTGGAGAAGTGAGAAGTGTTACCTTCCAAGCCGACGATCAGATTGAACATCGGCTGATCACACAAACATGGACACAGTTGCAAGAACCAAAATCTGAGGAGCTTTGCATGGCTGCTGCTTTTGCGGCTTTGCCTTACTCATCAGGTTGAGGCTGCCAGCATTGAGTTCTGTGACCTAGTGACTAGTCGCTCTAGGGGCTAGTGTTTCCACCAAATCAATGCACTTTGTTATGGTACCAGGTGAAGAGACACGCAACGGTGGATGTAGCGGTCGGTGCTCAAGGACCGACTCCGGTGGTGGTGAACAAGAAGCAGCCGCCAATATAGGATCCTTATGACCGGTCATCGGAATCGGACTGATGGATTTTTATGAGAGCTTTTCTGAGCTGGAGGAGATGTAAGCTTGATGCTACCGTGGCCCTTGCAAGAGTGGCATCCCGAGTGGGACTGACGCCCACATTGCAAGCCCGGCCCTTGGGCTGTTGTTCGTGAGGTCGGGCATGCTATGCTATTCAGCGCCTTATTTGCAACTTGGCGTGATATTATATGATATTATGTATGAGTTTGCTTGCTTCTCTTGCTTTTGTTGAGGTTGTCATGCTTAATTGACGCGACCTGTGTGCGAGGTATGTCTCCTCACGCGAGGAATGCCAAAGCTTTGCCCAAGAACTGGGTCATGAGTTCTATGCTCACAGGCTGGGAGAACAGGGGTTCTCAATTCTCACGACAAAAGCCAGAACAGTTCTCAGGGGTTCTCAGAACAGGGGTTCTCAGAGCACAGGGGTAATTCTTGGTAGACAATTTTCGCAATTGTTGCGAGATGGAAAGTGCCGAGACTCTGTCGCTTTCGTTCATGGTGCCTCCAGATCATGTGCCTCCTTCGCTTGAAGACTTCAGGTCAGATTTGCAGCCAGAACGCTGCATCACATTTGCGCCTTGATGGCACGTCGGGTGGGGCCGCCTTGGTAAGATCAGTGATGCTGGCGGTGATGAAATGATGCTGGCTGCTAACAGTAACAATAACAGTCGTTTACCTCCACCAGTTGCACATCCCACTACGTTCTTACAGAGTGTGTGCGTGTGTGTATGTAACTATACCTATATTTCCAGATGGCTGCAGTGACTAAAACACCGCCCAATGCAAACAGAGAGCAACATGATATACTTGGCTAGCCTTTGGATATGAGGATGACTGCTCCGCCCCTGCATACAGCACATCCTTCTGGAAGCTCTACACCAAGCCTGTTCATGGCGGCCTGGCATACACTTCATTCATATTCATATCTTATTTTTGTCATGCTGGCTGTTGCTGCAAAGGAAGCGCGGGTGGCAGCAATTGAGGTTCAAGCCAGGAGGTGGACGCAGTCAACGCTATTGATGGTGATGGTATTTGTGTTGATCCTTAGCCTGCAGCTGTACGAGGGTGGATGGGAATGGCTGTTGTAATCCAAAATCGCATTGTTGATGCCAATAGGGGCTGATGAGGAGGAAACACTGATTGGATGCCATCAAGCGCCAACAAGACTGCTGAGGGTCAAAGAACAGTATATAATGTATATAAAGCAGAGGAACATTGTTTCCTGACCCTCGAAGGACACTTGGCTACCCGAATGGACAGAGGATGCCACCAAAGCCTGCGAGAGCTGGGCACGAGATCGAAAATGGGGAGCCCTACGGGCAGGCGGGGAATCATGCAAGAACTTGTTGATGATGTGGCTGTGGGGAAGGATATTTTCGTTGCTTTGCACAGCCTCATGGTTTGCCCTTTATCCAGTTCAGTGCCTCAAAGTGACGGACTGACATGTTAGACATGGAGGACGAAGCTTGAAGAAAGCCTGCGAATCATTTTGGGCGCAGCTGAATTGTGCAAAAACCTGCGGCTGTCCAGCAGACACTGCAAGTTCAGGCAGGGTCCCTTCCAAAGTATACATATATATATATAATTGTCATCAATGCCTAGCACCAGGATTGAGAGCTTCAGATTCTCAATGCGCTCCAGCTTTGCAGCAGGTGACAAGATAGAGGAGATCCCGGACACTTCCGTCACCAAAGTTGTTATGTCAGTGGAGGCTTGCAAGGAAACTTGCCAGGATGAGAGACATGGGCCCTTATTCTGACAGACTTTTGTTCAATCCGGAGCTAAACATGAGCAATCACTCACGGCCTATTTCCCAAGAAACTGTTCGCGACGGGTTCTTCGGGAGAAGTTTGGAACCCGAGCTCTTCGGCGTTTGTTCTAGCAACTGCGAGACAGCTACCTGCCCTTGCCGGTCTTCACGCTCTATCCCCTGCAAACCAGAAAGTACATGGAGTTTGCCTTGCAAGATGAATCAAGATGATGAGTACGACTTGTGCTAGTTTGGATACTGCAATGCCAAGGATAGATGGCTGCCCGATTGGGCCACCAACTCTAGCCATGCGTGCTCCGCTTGGGCACAGGAGCTGAGCTGATGTGCTTTTTGTCGTTTGCTGATGTGGAGTGGAGTCCAGGGAACAAATTCAAGCAACGGCCCTGGGGACAATGCTCATTGGGATGCTGTCACATCTCAACATTTGCATTGGTGCCCACAAGTTTGCTGAGAGTTTGTTTTTGGTAATTGTACTCCTTAGCCGAGCCACAGGTGTTTCCCCTTGTTGGTGGTTGGAGAACTCATACATTCACGCCTTATATATATATATATATTTGTATTTTTCACTTTTTTGCGTGAGGCATCCTGGGGAGCTTTGCGTGATGGTAGCCTGGCGGAGGCTTGTCGGAGCAACTGGGCGCAGGAGACATCTCATGAGACTCGCCGGTACCGACTTGACCAGGGAATGATACGGGAGTTAAGAGCCTCCAGGGAGAAGAGCCATTGGCATATGAAACATAGAAATCATCAACCAGGAAGACCTGATTCCTTTGAATGACTTTTGTGGCCCGCTTATCAATCAATTCACCCCGGCTTGACAGATTTCATCTTCGCTGGTCATGGTCCGGTTCCGTAAATGATAAAGTCGCCTGTGTCACAGGAGAGCTGTGCGAAAACCTGCGGCTGCCCCCAAACACACAAGGCTGGGTTTAGCGTGATTAGCCAAGACTCCCCAAATTATATAGGAAAGAACAAAACAACATAAACAGAGATGAGCAACGGACCCCTTTGGAGAGTGATCCGGTGTGAACGGACCCCTTTAAATTTCTTCTGGCATGGGCCCTACATTCTAAACAGCTGTAATTAGATGTACTGTAATTAGGGTGGCCCACTTTACGGTCCCTCGTACTTTGGGTTGATAAACAAAAACATGAGAAGCCATGACCAGCTCGTTGGCTTGCAGATCTTGTTTGGTTCAGGCGAGGGATATGTAGTCAATGTGACATCATTAATTAAGTACCAGAAAAATGAAAAGCATTGAAAAGCCTTGTGTGTCTCAACGGCCCGGGTTCTTCCTCATGGTGCTCTTGGCCGTACGCAGGCCAGCACTCCACCAAGTGGCATGTCGGCCTCGGATGGTCTGAAGAGAGGTGATGAGGATGCTGCTGGGAACAACTAACTGCCCAGTCTCATCCTGCAATTTTGTTGCGACACTCACTCCTCTCAGCACCATACTGGGGTCCCGAAACTTGTCACTAGTGTTTGATTAGCAAGTGCTTAAAGGCTACAAAACAACAACCTCATCGTTTTGGTTTCGGTGAAGTTTGGCTTTTCAACAGGCATGAGCAACACTTAGCCTTGATGGTGGAGAAACTGAGGCTCGGAAATTGGCTGCAGAGATGGCCCAATAGGACATGCAGCTCAAGAGTTGTGGCACACGACAGCGCTTGACGGCCAAAAAAGTCAGCATGTCAAGCCTGCTCAAGCCTCCAAGAGTTTCTCCATTTTTACCGCGCCAGCATGTCTATGAACATACCGAACTTGAGGAAGCATTCGTGGAGGTCAAACTTGGGTGTTGTTTTGGTCTAATTATTCTTCCAGCGAGTCTTGGGGGGTCTCCCTATGTTAATACCCATTTGGATAGAAGATAGGAGATTGAAGTTTGACTATGCCACGTTTCAGGTCTTTGACTGCGACAATTGCACTGCTGAGAGGTCTCAAGTGCACAAATATCGATCCATGTTGAAAAAAAATAGGAAGAAACTGTGAGAAACATAGGTGCATTCTTGAGCCCATTTGTTGGAACTGCAGCAGCAACATGTGCAGAACAACAAGAACAATAGTAAGAACAAGAACAACAACAACAACAACAACAACAACAGCAACAACAACAGCAACAACGACGACGACGACGATGACTAGAAGGCTGGAGATGATATTTGGGTTAGTCCAGATGGAAATCCCCTCCTTGGGCCCATGATCCGCTTGGGCTTGGCCTTGGGCAGCTGCTTGGGCGCACTGTCGCAGGTAGCGCCACGGCGGAGCTGTCCTCAGTCAGGCCTTTATTTCGATGCTACGCGGCTCCTTGGACACAGAGGGCCGATGGCCGAAAATCGAGGGGTGAACCACCCTGGTGAACTTGGACAGCCGAGGGCCGACAGATAAGGATTCTCAGAGAGTGGATCTTCATGGATTTTCACCAACCACTCGTCGTCGAGAGATTTTCTTCGTAATTGCACTGGTAGCATGTTGTCTCACGTGTAGAAGTGTAGTAGCTCAGGCTTCAGTGCGACAGTTGCAGCAGCATTGACAGCCAAGCGGTCTTAGTTTCAGCTGAGGA